TTTTTATAATTATTAAACTTTAAAAATTGTAAAAATATATTAACAGGTGCTCGCACGCTCTCACGCGAGGCCATTCAATGTTAGTGAAGGTGCTAGTTAGGCAGATCTGGTTCTAATGTGACTTTTTGGAGTAATCTAGTGAGATCTAATATGACAATGGTATTTAAACAATATTTTCCTTTCAAGTTGTGTTTTATTATTCAGTATATTCTAGTAGGACATCGTTTGTAAGCGTTGTACGCTAATAGAATGTCCCCAAACAACAAGCTATCTTAAAAACCACAGCAGATTACTATCAATAGCACGATAGACTACCATTAGTACAAAAGTTTTTGGTTTGAGACATGTGTTATGTAAGAGATATTTACTGTTCCTGCCACAACAAATCAGTAAGGATCGAGTTTTACCATTGGCACAAAACCTCTCACTTTTTTACCACATGGCAGAACAAAATTTGAAGTAAAATTACGGCCTTTTTCCAGAGTACCTTTTCTTTTCACTCTTTTTCTTCTCTTTCGTCCCTCTCGATTCTCTTTCTTCCCAGGCCGATTGGCCGCCGTCGCCACCATGGCCGCTTGCCGGAGCTCGACGCGAAGGAGCTCCCCTAGATCTGCTCACCGCGTCTCCATAGATCTTCGACCTCCTCACCGACTCGCGCGCACCTCCAACAGATCTTGCGTCCAAAATCGCCGAGGAGACGTTGGAGCGACGAGGGCTCTGCTCGTGCAGGGCGCTCCGCGGTGAAGAATCCTTCCACGCTGGCTACATCAACGTGTGCAAATCCTAACCAGATCTGCAAGCCTCGTGCGATGTGCTGTCGGAGCACAGGGAGATGTGAGATCTCCGTGCGCAGGGAGAGCCGCAGATCTCCGTTCATCCTTCGATGGCCGCAAGACGTCGCCAGGTCCAGATCCGCGAGAAGCAACGCCGATTTCGGCCTCCTCCTCCGTGCGATACCGCCTCCTCCTTCGCTTCTCTGTTTTTTTCTATTTTTTTTTTCAGATTGTTTTGACTTTGTTATTTTGATGTGGACTTTGTGATTAGTGATTTTTAAAATTGTTTGTTGTGGATTCGTTTGATTCTGATTTTTTTTTTTTTTTTGTGATTTTCTGCGTATTGTTTGCAATTTTTCTGAAATTTTAGGTATTCCCGTGGCTGCAACGGCTAGATTGCTGTCAATAGTGGCGGTTGGTGGCCGGATACCGACAGTTATCTCAGGAAGATATTGGTATCTTGGCCGGATACTGGCCAGTATCTTAATTGGATACCGATATCTAGGTGGATACTGACGGTTACCAATCGGTTACCGATTAGTATCATAGTGGTCATCGCCTCGCCGGAAACCGGCGAATATTGCCGCCAATAGTGACGGTTGTCCGCCGGATACTATAAGGTATCTCAGTTGGAACCGATTTTGTGGTCGGATAACGAGAGTATCTTGATTGAATATTAGTATCGTGGTTAGAAATCTACTGGTGTCCTGAAGGTATATTTATATAGGGTGATTACGTGGCTGTAGTATTGAGTTGATGTCTTCTGGTATATGTTAATGCAAATTTAAAACTTATAGCAGTTGTCTTTAAAGCCCGTTATATAAGATGAATGTTTATCTATTAACAATATTGATCAATAAATTCTAGTGGTGATTAGAGGAATATAATTTTTTAACAAAATACTATGAAGAATATATACAGAGGTATGGTTTTCAATTCGATATCAGACTGGAGCAACACTTATTTTGAGCTTTTAGTCTTGTTTATTTCACCGATTTAAGTTTAGATTTTGAATTTTATTAGAGTAAAAAGCTATCAGAAATAGTCACATTTAATATTTTTATTATAATAAAAAATTCTAATATAATATCACATCTCAACGCAAATTAAAAACTCAAATTAACGAATTAAACGGACCTAAAAGTTTTATTATTTAAGGAATCAGAGTCACGGGTTCATCAATTGTTGAATTTGAGAGGTTGGCTTTTAGGAGTTACCTACAGCTCGAGATGTTGACATCACTGCAATAGGTGGTAAAAGTGTATCTTACGGCATGTTTGCATTATTTTTAGAGCTGTTTTTAGCTTTTTGTAAGAAGTTACAGTAAGTGTTTAGCAAAATCTATTTTTGACCAGTAGTTTTCAAAAGTTGCTGCCCCACAACAGAAGTTGAGAAGCAAGTTAGAGGTTGCTTAACAACTTTTGCTGTGATTGTCTAAATTTATTAAAATAACCTTTATAATAAACTTAATTTTCAATCTACCCCTTATTTCTTGATATTTCATAGCAAATTGAAGAATATGTTTTATTTTAAATGATTAATTGAATTATTTACGTTATTTAATTTCTTTATAGATATATAATTTATCTTCTTGAATAAAACCATTTTGCTTTTTAGAGATATTTTAATTAATAAAATGAAAATTATTTTTTTAGTATTTTAGTATAAAAATATTATGAATACTGAGTAGAAAAATAGAAATAAAACTAATTATTAGTACGTTGTTAAAATATATCTATTTCAATCATTATATATTTTCACAGCAATTTTATATATAATTTATCAAACACCTAAATTTTTAGTTTTGGTATTCACAACAACTTTAAAAAAAAATTTACCAAACACCTATACGCTTATGTTCATGTCACGCCCCAAAGCTAGGGTTAGTGACGTGGAGGCTCGTTTAGGAGTTAAACGCAATTAAGAAAGTAATTAAACATTTATAATCATAATAATCAAAATCAAAAGTAAAATATTAAAGAAATCTCCAAACGAGCCCCACTATTTAGCTGAAAATAAATTACAAGAAAGTTACGGGGTCTTCCGCACTTTCTAAATTGTTCAGGGCTTCACCCACAGGATATGCAGTATTGTACATACATGAACAAGTAAATAACATTACAGACATCAACCACAGTCTAGTAATCCAAAGTTTAGAGTTTACAGAGTTTACAATCCTTACATTTGTACATAGGAAGGACGATCACAATCCTCACTAGATCAGACGGTAACAGTTATATCAGCTATTCAGCACTGCTCCTAGAGTCGCCTGGGAGGGGGTTAATATTTATAAAACAGATAAAACGTGAGCGAAAGGCTGAGTAGGATGAAATTTGAAATAAATTTATAAACAAGTAAATAAATTAATGAACAAGTAAATAGACAAATAAATATAGACATTCAGTTCCAACATAACAGCCGCAACCTTACATCATTTTTTTGAAAGGAATATAAACTGAAACTTTCCGTATTACAGGCATCAACAAGTAATTTATCCTCTGATAAATTACTTACACAACCACATGCACAAGCCTTAGTTCATTATAATTCCAATAACTAAAATCAAGCTATTGTTTTTAAAATTCTTTTCTTTGGCAAACATGTCATTTCTTTAAAACATTTACAAGGCCAAAACTCTTTTAAAATCAGGCTAACAAAGAAAGGGGTAAGGAATTCTACCTCTCAAGTACCAAACATGTGGTTAGCGTTGTACTATTCCGGCTTTCACTTCCTCAAAACCCCTCAATCTGAGTCCTCAACTAGCACTGACACAAACACAACACTTTAGGATCCAATTCTCATTCCTAAAGCAACTCAATCTCAATTATACTATTTGATTTCCTATTAGCGTGCCTTAATCAAATTTCAAATTTCATACATCATTTTATGTTTCAAATCATCATTCCAAGGGTTTTAATCTCAAAACATGGATTAAAGATGCTAATCCATTCATTTTAGGTCCCCAAATGAAGCTAATTTGGGTTCTCTTCGAAAATCGAGGTCAAAACAACATTTTTTGACAAAATAAGGTCAAACTCCGTGTACACCGGTTGACCGGTGGTGTGCAATCCGGTCGACCGCATAGGTCGACCGGTGGAGTGTAATCCGGTCAACCAGTGGATAACAGCAATGCGAGGAAACTCGCTGAATCAGTTCGAAAACCTACAATTTGAGTTCCAATTCGAAATATTTCAAGGGAAAACACCTAAACCCAGGTTCTAGTTACTAAATCAAGTCCATAGAACCAAAGATCCCCAATTTCTACCATGATTTTTCTTAAAATCCATAAAAATCCATTTCAAACCAAAATAAGTTTTCTAATCCGAAAAATCTGAGATTCAAGAGAAGTTTTTTTCAAAAATCTTACCTCAAATCCTTCTCTTGACGTTAAAAGCTTCTTGAAATTCTTCTTTGGATCAAAATCCGGTTGATTTGAAGCAAAAATGGGAGAGAGAGAGAGAGTGTGTGTGTGTGTGTGTGTGTGTGAGAGAGAGGACAATAGAGAGTGAGAGAATGAGAGTCAACAATGCACGGGAAAGAAAAGAAAAGAAGGAAAAAGAAAAGAAAAACAAAAAAGAAAAGAAAAAGATAGGTGTCAAAATATTTAAATAGGCAGTCTAGAAAATGTGTCTACACACACTTCTGAGAGGAAAATATAAATAATGACAATAATTAAATTTTTTGAAAATATTTAAATTTACACGTCAGAAATATTTAATAAATAATTAATAATTAATTAAATCAGATTCACACTAATAAATTTTAATTATATTATTTAATTTCTTAAAGTGTTACAGTTCATAACAACTTTTAACTAAAAACATAATAACAATAGAAATTTTAAATAACACAATAATGCCAAACTGAACCTTGAAGGGGTAATAAAATAATAAACCATGTACAAAATAATATATAGAATCTTTGGATCCATTTCTTTGAATTTTAGCCGGGGAATTGAAAAGGGATAGACCATGACGCTTGATGACATGGGTGGTCTCACGTGCCCAAAAGTCTCCATCACGTGCCAAGCCAACATAAAACATAAAACCAAAAAAAAAAAAAAAACTCCCAAACCCCAACCCCATGAAACCCCCTAAAGTCAAGTCAGTTTGGAGGGAACCTCATCCAACCGTCCATATGACATCTAACGATCACGATTATCTCTAATTTCCTCACATCAAGTGAATAAGTGGTAACGACACAAACACAGCACCCACCAACAAATAAGAAGAGAACAAGAGAGAGAAAGAGAGGTTTGGCCTTTTGGTGAAGAAGAATGGCAAGAAGATAAACAGAGTTGCAGAGAAGAAATAAAGCGGCCATTTTGGATTCCAAGCCAAGCTCTCTGCTCTTTTAACGTTTTATCTTTCTTATATCTTTACTGTTTGGTTTCTGAGAAAACAATATAGAAGTAAACGAGAGAACAAACAATTTCGGTTGAGATTGAGCTCTCCTAAAATCAAATTAGAGCCTTTTTGATTTTTCCCTGTGCTTTCTCGGCGACCAAACAGAACGAAAGCAGAGCATTTGAATACTGATAATCATCAACCTCATCGTTTCGCAGATCTTGAGGTAATTTTCTTGTTTCAATCTTCCTAGAAAGAGAGAGAGAGAAAAAAAATTCCATAAATGTCTGAAACTGAAACAGGGTTTCATGTTTTGGTTGCAGAGAAGAGAGGGAGAGAGAGAGAGATGGAGAAAGAAGGGAAGAGCGAGAAGGAGAGGGATTTTTTGCTGCAGTGGGGAAACAGAAAGAGGCTGAGATGTGTGAAGGTCAAGAAAGATCAGAACTTGAACAACAACAACAACAACAACAACAACAATGATAAATCATCTTTGGATTGTTTGGATAAGAAGAAAGTAATCACTTCTCGGATTGTATCTTCTCCCAAAGATTCTTCTTCATTACAACAACGACTCAACAAGTAATTTTACACAAAGCCACCTCTTTTTTTTTTAAATTTTATTTTTATTTGGAGAGGCTGTTGTAGAATTAGAAGATTGTTCAGATGGACAACAATGAAGGTTTTTTTTTTTTTTTTGACTTGGAGAAGAAAAGAGAAAGCCCTAGATTGGTTGCTGGGAAAGGGAAGGAAGATGGGAAGCTGGTTTTTTTTTTTCCTTGTCTTTTTTCTTTTTTTGGCCTCTCTAATTTTTCTTATCTTGTAGTTTTGAAATTAGAACTGTGAGGATCTTAAAAGCACAGATGGAAAAGTTCCTCCTTTTTTTTTTTTGGTGAAGAAGGAAACAAAAGCCCTAGATTGGTTGCTGAGAAAGTGAAGGAAAATGGGGAAGCTTCATTTTTCCTCATCTTTTCTTATTTGGTCTCCCTAATTTTATTTATTATTTTGGAATTAGAGATTTTAGGATCCTAAAATCACAGAAGGTAAAAGCAGATGGAAACTCTTCTCTGTTTTGGTTGGTTGTTTGGTTGCTGAGAAAGTTTTGTGAAAGGAAAAAGGGCTCGATCTCCAATTCATAAGGAAGTTATGCTTATAGTGGTAGATAACAGTGTTCTGTTACTTGATGAGAAATTTGATTTTTCATTAATTTTTATCTGATTAGAATGGATAGGGAAAGAAAAGATCATAACTTTCTTTTTTTTTTTCCCTTTCTTCTTTTCATGTGTTGGCTTGCAGGAATTTGGGTTCACCGACTAACAACCGTAAGCCGGCGGCTTTGTCCCCTGAGAAGGAAGATCGGTACTACACGACAAGGGGTTCGTTGGGATTGGATGAGAATGGGAAGATGTTGGGGTTAGATCATCATAATGGTCATTTAGGGGATATCAAAAGAAATAATGTTTGGCCAAAATTGTTTCTTTCATTGTCTAGTAAAGAAAAAGAAGAGGATTTTATGGCCATGAAAGGGTGTAAGCTTCCTCAAAGGCCTAAGAAAAGAGCAAAATTCCTCCAGAAAAGCTTACTTGTATGTGTGCCTGTTTTAAAAAAAAAATCTTTGATGTAGATTTATTCTTACTTGTTAATTCCTGAGATTTTTGACATTCAATTTTGTTTTCTGCAGTTGGTAATGCCTGGTTCATGGTTATCAGACTTGTGCCAAGAAAGGTATGAAGTTAGGGAGAAGAAGGCTTCAAAAAAGGTACTTTTTTTATTCTCTTTTCTCTTAATGAGTTTCCTAACTATAATGTGATTCTCAATTTTTATTTTTATTTTTATTGGGAATGCCTTGTTTGGTTGTTGAGAATAGCCATAGGAAAAAAAAAAAACAAGATTAAGAACTTTGTGTTTGGACTTCTTATAAGATTTAATATGGAATTGGTTTTCATGTGATGCAGAGACCCAGAGGATTAAAGGCCATGGGAAGTATGGAAAGTGATTCAGAATGAGAGTGATTTTATACTATTGGAATTAAAACAGAGAAAAAGAAGATGGGCGTGACTTTTTTCCTTTGAACAGTTTAAGAGGGTGAGAAAAAAGCTTGGAAGAATTGAAAAATGAAAGCAAGCGGGGAAAAAAGGAAAAAGAAAGAAAATGTTGCCCATTTTCCATGCGGTGGAATTTGCTTAGGATTTGGAAATTCAAACAAATAAAAATCATTTTCTTCTTTTGATAGCCCCTTTTAGCTTCTGAGGCTGCTTTTTTCTTATTCTTTATTATTTCTCTGTTGATTTTAATATCATTCTCAAGCTTCATGTGAGCTCCAGGCAATCCCATGAAGGGTTCATTTTTTTGTTGGAAATGTATGGACAGTCTGGTTGTATTAATATTTGAATGGCCTTTAAATCTTTGGATTATCTAATTATAGATTGTTATCTTAGATTTTGCAATAGCCCTACCTCAAGGTGGTTCAAATTCTCATACTCTAGATGTTAAAAAAAAAAAAAAAAAAAAATTGAAGAGTCAATATGCAGCCACATAAAAAAGTCTATTTGACGGTTCAAATAAAATTCAATTATCTAGTAATTGATTATTATCTTATGACTTATTTATTTCGTGCGTTTAAATTTATGATTTTGATTTTGTTACAATATTTTTCTCACAAAAAATTTAAATTTTAAATGTCAAAATTAAGAATCACTGGTGTAAATGCATGAACTAAACAGGCCCTTAAATTTTACAAGTAAAATTGAAGGTTCAAATTGTTGCTACTGATACACTTATGATATGTTTACTTATTAGGATTGGAGAATAAGAATGGAGAATGAGAGTTAATCTCATGTTTTCTTACTCTTTTTTATCCTGAAATGGGAGTGAGACTAGTATGCTCTACTCAAATTTAGGATTGATGAATGAGATTGATAATCTTATGCCCCCTCTTAGGATTAAGACTCATTCTTGATATTGATGTTAAATTATTATCATGCCCCTAGTTTACTTCTAAATATAAAATTAGAAATAAAATTAAAAAATAATAATTACAACCTATATTTATTATTTTTTTAAAGGGAAACTCAATTCAATCAAAAACTGAGAAACATACAACCCGTACAATGCTAATGATCCATTGGAGGGACAAATGCACACATGAAACCATAAAACAGGAGAACCTCGGCATACCTAAGGCTATAACTGAAGAAACCCCTCCCATCGAGATAAATTTCTGAGCTCTGGAGGGACAGATCACTAACCCCTATAAAGAGAAGATATCAGCAACACGTCATAGAAAAATTCTAGCCAGACCAAGAAGTTCACACAATCGGGAAGCATAGAAACGGCCTTAAGCCGATCATTGAAAACTAGCACCAAACAAAAAAAACAAGAGTGTCGGGTGGGGAAACCACCGCCCTTATTACAAACACATAAACTTTAATATAAAAAATAGAGAAACTGAAGAGATCAAATAAACAAGAACGAGTCCCTCAATACCAAAAATCTAAAAAAAAAAAAAAAAAAAAAAAAAAAGTGAAAACGAAAAAAAAAAAAAAAAAAAACAGTTGAAACGGCGTTGGAAAAAGCCTCCCAAAACGGCACACGCGCCTCCGCCGACCGGCTATGATTGACACACTCATCGTAGCACCTTCTTCGCCTCCCTCCTGCGATCCAATTCCTAGGGTTTTAACAAGATCCCAAGGCGAATGCGTCCTAGATCTACGGTAAAAGATTGACAGTCTCTTCCCTCAAAACTGATCCGGTTGCTGCCCACACTTCAGTCTGCATGAACTCGCCTCCGGTGACCACTACGATTTTCTCGTTGAGATTTGGAGGCCAGCAGCCCAGCAAAAAGCTAGACCACCAACCCCATAACCCAAAACTCTTATGAAACTCTCAAACCTTCTCTCTCTCTCTCTCTCTTCTCTCTGGTTTCTTTTTGAAGTTTTCTTAGACTTGGAAATACCCTATATTTATTATTTTAGTTGTCCAGTATTATAATATTAGCCTAATTATTGATAATTTTAATATAATAAATATGCATTTTATTATGTTGAATAAATTATTAATATATTTTTATTTTTAACACTTTATTTATATTTATTTTATTTAAATTTTGATAATTTATTTTTATATATTAAATAGTTGTGCAATTTATATTTATTACTTTATTACCATATTATTATAATTAATATTTTAATTATGATTAATTTTAATATAATAAGTACACAATTTATTTTTTAAATTAAAAATATAAATTTTACTCTAAGGAGATATTAATACTTTTAAGTTAATTCATTCCGAATGTGGGTGTAATTAAATGCATAAATAATATATAAAATAAAACTAATTTTAAATCCTACCACCAAATAAACAACATATTCCAACTCCTATTTCTCACTCTGAATTCTACCCACTCTAAATCCCATTCATGCCCATTCCAATTATAGGTAGGTAAACATGCCATTATTGTTCTTTTTCCTGAAATGTTATTGTCTACGAATGTCTTAACGAAAGCCAAAACTCTTGGCATACAATACATTTATTTGGCTAATTTAACGTGACGTAGAGCGAAAATAAAAAATTAACATTCAGAGTAAGAAAAAGGGCATAAATGAGGGGAAGGGACAATAATACTTTATATAATTATATTGAAATGTAAAACATATATTATTTGTACAAATAACCCATGATTCACTAAAAAGGCACCTCAAAACTGCAGCTGAACCAACAAACCGCTGCAACTGCACAACTTTTTTTTATCCCCCCAACTAAGAATTCCAAATTATATTTCTATGGCTCTCTTTTGCTCTCATTTACATGATTAACAACACCTTTATTCATTAAAAAAAAAAAGAAAAGAAAAAAAAAAAGCCAACTTATGTACACTTGCATAACCGTCAATAACCCTTTCTCTATGCCAGAGGAAGCAAATGTTGAACCAGGATGAGGGAGGCCGTAGTTTTCGTCTCTAAGCGATCAGCCTTGCCTCAAAAGAATAAGTCGATTTCACTAGGTCGGTTCAGCTTCTTGCATCTGCTTAAGCTCGAAGATACCGCATGGAGTTCCACCAGTCGAATGAATGGCCGTTCTCGACGCTCCTTGGAGCTCGAGAATCACTGGATGGTATGGAGCCTGCTCAGGAATCAAGATTAGTCCTTTGAGTGCACAGAACAATATGTACAACCGTAAGAACCAGAACAAGAAACAACCTAAAGGTAGATATACATCTACAGAACAACCTAATAAAAACCATCTATTATGCAATGTTAATTCACCTCTCCTAAAAGCTTAAGCTATTAGTATGATTAGTTTTTTTAGTCCTAACACTACCCCTTACCATGTGGACAAATGCCAACGGAATTTTATAGTCCTAACACTACCCCTTACCATGTGGACAAATGCGAACGGAATAAGTCCAACACATGAACATTTAAACAGACTTAAGGCTCAATAAGTCATGCCAATTTTTAAAGAGTGCAATTACAAGAGGAACTCAGGACCTCCTCCTTTGATATTATAAAACTGGGCGATTGGCCCCGTTTACTCCGCGGGTTCGAATTGTGTGGGTTTTCTGTGGTTCAAACTGACGTTTGGTAGTGTAAGTTTAAACCAGTGTTTGGTGACCTTAGTAGAACTATGGGTTTTTAGAAAACGTGAGTAAAGATGGTTGGTGGGAACCTTTAGATTGAGTTTTGAAAAGCAAACTGGGTTAGAACCTTAAGAACTTAGAAGGACGAGGAGAGGGTGGGTGGTGTTTGGGGTTTGATAATGTTGATTTCAACCTTCAATTTTGAGTTCAAATCCAAATTCAAGTTCAAAATGTTATGCAACCAAACAAGGGTTCAAACCACATTTTGGGATCAAACCCTCCACAACCCTCCAACCAAACAGCACATCAAAGTTCAGTATTTACACGACTTTATAGTACATACAAGCTGATATACTAGGATCTAAATTAGGAAACCAAGTAATAAGACATTCTACAGCCTATTTACAGCTTATAACCAGGTGTTCTGACGTGCCATTCATAAATGGTAATTACTGGGACAATAGATTCTCATTCCTTGAAAAATTTGTTGCTATAAGAAGGTAGATCAGTTTCTCATGCACTAACAAAAGGCTACAAAAATTTTATGCGAGATTCCTGAAAAAGAAAGGGAGCATTTAATTTCAGTGGCAGGGGTCAGATTAGAGCCAGAAAGTTGTGCTTGGTAAACATTTCTAATATGAGTGTACAAGGAAAATTTTCAACATCCCGTAGAAGAGAAGAGACCAGGAGAAGAGCAACATGTTTTAAAAAATGCACAAGAAAACCTGAAAGGAAGAGATATCAGAGGACAGAAGATTACCTGATCATTTGGTGTACTGAAATGTGGCCACTGGAACCTGCCTGCTGAGTGTATCTATTCTTTGTACAGCCCAAGCAATTCAAATTTTGAAGATGCGCCGAAATCTCAATACCATCCGTGCTTAAACTACAAGGGTTCCAGGGTTACTAATGCCTTGGTGAATACAGAGAGAACAAATGGCGCTTCTTCTCCAGGGTGTATAGTTGTAGGTACTATTGTGTAACCTTTAGGATCAGGCTCCAAAACCATTTCGCAAGATATTTCTCGAGAGTTAACATAATCTGTCCCACCAACCGATTCATGTAAGTAAATATTATAAGCAGCACGACGACCACGAGTTTTAAGTATCCTCATTCCAATGTAGAACATCATTGAATCGTGACTGGATTGATAATTTCTGAAACCGGCTACTGTCCTTGAGAAGCTCACGCCCTGAATGTAGGGGTATAAAAGTTAAATATCAAGGAAATTGTAAGAGGGAATGAGAGAATTTGCTGATGTAGAATACCTGAGTCAACGTTATAAACACATGAATTGGATACGAAGCATCTGTACCGGTAGCCCGTAACCGGAACTGTGGATTTTGATGCCATGTATCATAGTCCTGGCAGCCACCGGCACTGTAACCTCGCCATTGGCCGTGAACAGAATACCGCATCTCTGGAGGGTAGACTCGGCAAACATATATTGATCGAAAGTGAACCTGAAAATCTTGCCAGGACATCCAGAATATGCCATCTTTTGACTGTTCATTGAGGAGTTATGACACAAGAATCAAATCTAATTGAAACGCTGTGTCAATCAAGAATAGCTAATAATATGTAACGATGCAGTGCCAATAAAATAGCATCTAAGGGGGTGGGGTGAGGGAAATGCACCTGTGGAACATGCTTTAGCTTATGTTTCATTCTATCGGTCCATTCGGGTGATGAGTCAGACCAAGGGCCATTCCACTCAACTTCGTTGGCCCATGGATTCCGTATCTGTATAAGCTTGTGGCCATCCACCTCTCTTACCTGCAAAACAGTTCTAGTGATTCCTACCCGCAACACAACAAAAAAAGAAAGAATAAAATAGAGGGAAAAAGAGAGAAACAATATTTCGTCCCACCTGCAATAATGCATAAGCATGGCCCTGCACAATGCCACTAGAGGAGATATGCACGTCTGAACCCGTTGGACTTCCAACACCAAGTAGAAATCCCTCTTGTTTGAAGCGCAATAATTGAGACCAGAGTCTACCACTTGCAAGATCAATTTGAGCTTGGGCACTCCTCATGTCAATTTCCTCACCAGCACCTCCAGTAAGGTCCACAAGAGCATCCTGAACAAGCCCACCTTCTAGGGCTTCATAAGAGCCATGCAATTTCGCATATGCCTTCTCCAGTATGGAGACCCATAGCTCGTTGCGCTTCCTACTAGTAGCAAATGATGGCTTACCCGGTGATTCACATGGTATCCAATCATCAACAACGACAGGAACCCACTCACCCTGAAGAAACATGAAAGAACAGCATTTACATTTTTTTTTTTGGGCTAGAGAAGCTCCCTTAACATGATAAATTAATGATGATTTATAAGGAAAGCTAAACCAAACGTTACATGACAAGAAATTAGTATGGCAAGAAGCAATGCGCAGTATCATGTAGTAGGTTTTCATAAGTTTGAAATATAGATACCATAAGCTAGCATATGAAAATGTTTTAGGAGTAATTACATTGATAATTGAAAGATTAAGCAACCTGAATACAAAAGCGAATGGTGTAGATCCCTTCATCATTATACTCTGGAGTAATAATTACGTCTGATATTCGTGAAATCTCCGCCAACACAGCAACAGCACTCAGAAACCAACAATCACCCAACCGACCCTACACAGAAAAGATGCAAATAAATTCTAGAATAGAAGAAGCCAAGTTTAGAAAAAATTGATTATCAAGTTGCAAAAAAACTAACCTGACAAACGTCAGAAGGATTGGCAGTCCCATCAAATAAGCACGGACGAGTATCAAGACGCCTTTCCTTTGCTATATCAGCTGGCCTCGTCCACTCAGAAACAACCTAGATTGAGAAAAACTAGAAGTTAGTGCAATTAAGAAAACGGATACAAAACACACAAAATAATAGCAAGGAAACTAACCAGCAACTTCTGAGGGGGATTGTCTGGATCTAAAAATAATGACTGATCATTTGGTGGAAACTCCTGATCAGTAAAATTTGTTTCTCCTCTTGCAATGAGAGCCTCTTTGACTGCCGATTCAACAGAAAGCATTCGCTGAGTGATCTCTTCTTGTGTTTCCATCCGAGGCTTCCTATACCTCCTCGCAAAGGAATCCATTTCAATAACAACGCTCTCACGCCCGGACCTCCTTTTCCTCCCACTTGAGTATTGTCCATCCCAATCTACGTCATCCCTGTCGTACAAGTCCACATCGGCAGGATCACTATCCCATTCATCAACCTAAAAAAACAAAGTAGGTCGGTCAACAGTTCAAACAAGCAACTCCACAAATCTAGTTAATCTTGTTTATAATTACAAAACATTACAGTCGCATAGTATAAGGCATATACCCTAACAGGTGAATCTGCCCACTGCCAATTGTCTTCAGGAAAATCTGCCATATTGAACTCAGCTGAACCTATGGCGTTATGAAGAGCAGCAATCTCGTCTTCAGTTAAGCACCTTCCCCATAGGAAGACATCCATTAAATGCATCTTTGACTCAGCTCCTTCACTATCTGACCTCCCAAATGCATCCATATCGATAGGTGGTCTAACACCAATCCAAACTTCAGTCCCTTGTTCCCAAATACTCTCACCAACATGCAATGGTAACCCAGTTTGGTATCCATCAAAACCACCATCTAGATAGCAAGTTGCCTCCCCTAGATCAGCATCGATCGTCATAGTTACCATATGCCACCTGCAAAGTGAATTAAATAACCATATTGAGCAGACAGCTACTTATAAACCAAGTACGTATGGTGGAAAAGGAATCCTAAGAGATTGATTTCTCCAACAGCTGCCTATCGGGTTGATCCAAAATTACAAAATACACGGTACCAAATAAGCAAGGGAAAATTCCTTAAGAGTGGTTGTCAAGAAAGGAAAATGCCAAACCTTCCATCTGCAATGCTAGTAGCACTGATGCTCCATTCCTTTGCAACTGTGGTTTGCCTATCACCTTTGGTGATCAATCGAAGCCCAACTTGTCCAGCTTCAATACCTTGCTCAGAACCAGCCACCAAGATTTCCCAACATATTTTCTGCTGAAACTCGGTGCCTAAAAGGCAAACAGGTCCCGATTCTGGTTGAATCATCACAGCAACAGAAAAGCTAACTTTTCTAGTTTGACATATGCTGGGATCAATCTGGCCATAATGTCTTCCACTTATGGTTGGTTCGTCGTCAAGAACGCATATAGCACCAGCAATTCCAGTCTGTCAATAACATGCACTCCTATCAATTACCGTCAAAATACAAAGAAGAAAGCAAGGTGCTAAGCACAGTGCAAAACAAAACGGACTTGAATAACTAAGCAAGAAAAGTGAAAAGTCGTAAACAATAAAAGAAATTTAAGCTAAAATAAAAAGCCTGAGATACAATAACCTATTCGTATACAACTCGTGTCCTAGATACAGATACCAAAAATACCAGATCTAAGTATACCAGACAGTATGGAGATTCGACCTTGAGATCAAATGTTTGAATTCATTTCATCACGTCACTTTTGGGATCACTAATCAACTCCACAAGGGATGTGGATGACATTTGGAAATAATGAGCATTAATGCCAGCATACCCATCATACATTATCCATGAAAAAGTAAGCAATATGCTATATAGCATACTAGAGAGGCTGATACAAGACCTACTCAGACAAGAGTCTAACATACTACAAGTACAAAAAACTAAATAAACAATTATACAAACAAAACCTGAAGGGCCCGACGATCTAACTGAGTTGAGCGTATCCTGCGTGCAATGCTGGAAACTCTCTCTCGAGCAAAAGAATCATCAAGAACTGAATCACCTCCTACAGCACGAACCGCGGCTGCCATTGCCGCTGCTTCCCTACTGCCAGCATTAGGCATCGAGGAAATGAGAGAAGCTTCTATCTCCTTCCATTTACGTTCTTCCTTCTCCAGAAGAGCTTTTCTTCTTTCTTTGCCCCTTCCCTCCTCTTCACGTCTCTGCATTAACAGTTCCTCTTCCATCTCCTTTTCTCTAATGTAACTGCAAAATTAATATAACAAAGCATTTAAAATCTTACATGAGAAGCTGAATGGGTACCATTGGCAGAAAAAAGTGCTGAAACAGAGACATAAACTCTTTTACCTCTCTTGAATTATCTCAAATCGTCTACGGTCCTCAGGCATCCATTTTTTAATTTTCTTGGCACTTAGGTCTGAAAACCCAATGCTATCAAGGAAAAGTCTTAAGCGAACCTCATCCTATGACAGAAGCAACACAATTATATAATTAATATCAAGATAAATATAACTTCGAAGCTAAGGAGAGAGAAGTGGTAGCTACCTGCACTCGCTCTGCCTTAGCAGTCAAACCAAGCAAAAGAAGTAGATAACCACCAAATTTATCCCACATGTACACCCATTCAGTATCAATTGCCTCTTCCAAAGCCAAAATTCGCGCATGAGCACACATTTGTCTCCTGTGATCCACATCACTCGAGGGCTCAAAGCGGAAAGTCCTTCCAGATCTCATTTTGCAGAAGAATGACCCTGCAACTAATTCCTCGTTTCTCAAACGATCCCTCAATTTCATGACATCTGCTCTTGGAAGCACAAAATTTCCTGCCCTATCACGCGTTATAGCAGGATCCCCAACTAAAAGAGCAGCTGAGCTGGCAGACCTCTGAGGAGCTGAATAAGTTCCAGATAAAGCATTTCTTGTCTACATGGCCAAAAAGCATATTTTATAAAAAATATCCAGAAACAGCAAAACATTATCTAACCATACAAGGACGTAACCTTTTACTTCAAATCAAAATGGTTTATTGAAGGAGAAGAAAAATATACAAGACGTAAAATTGTTAAATGGAAGGACAAAGCACTGTTTACTTAGTTTAAAACACAATAAATGTCAACATTCAATCTGGTCACATAATGTTTTTCTTAATTGGGCTCCTATAAAGTAAAAACTACGAGTGCACCTCACCAACATCTTAGGACCTGACCATGCAAGTGAATCTAGTAAACATTACAGTTGCAAGTGGATCACCTAGAAATATAAGTGCGCATACATTTCTTTGGCAGGAATCTACAATGCTGCAAAAAATACAAAAGGATAATTTCCTTTTGTACCTGCAATTTCTTATCAAAAAGTTCATAACAAAATTATTCACCTTAGTGGCAGATCTGGCAATAGCTTGAATAACAGTTTCCTTACTGAGAAAGTGAACTGCGTCTTCCATCATCTAGAAATATAAGATCATGAAACATCGTTAAACAAAGACATAATAAGAAAACACGTAGTCATGGATGTGTGCTGTGTGCAGTGCATAAATCGAGTGCACATGATTGAAAAAACTCATCTCATTAAAGGCTAACATTAAACTCTTATCATTCCTAATAGAGCAAATGTCAAGACGTCCAACTTGATGCAACATGGTGAACAGTGTTGAGAACACTGCGGACAAACCTCGAGAGTCAAGCAGGGGCGTGATACGGCAAAACCAAAGGCAACAACAAGGGTAAGTGCTGATACCGCAGCACCAGCAAATGGCGGATAAATTTTTAAACTTGCAACGACGCCCCAGCCCTCAGTTGCCAATGCAACCCCATAAAGCATCAGAAATGCGGCACTATTAAGGAATATAAAAGACAACATAAATCAGTAAATAAGAAAGTTGCTGCATGTTTGATATATGTTGATATCTTTGGCAAGTGAAACAAGAAACCATGGAATCCAAACAAACCTGACATTCTTTCCACAATCTGCATGAGCATCATACACATATACAGGAAGAACTCTGGGAGAGTACACAACTATAGGAGGTGAAAGAAGAACCTGCAAGAAAGCAAAGTTCAGATTCAAAAATTAAAAGAAAAAGAAAAAGGGACATTGTGCAACAGAAGATGGAGTGAATGGAGACAAACAGAAACAAGAGAGAATGAACCACAGGTGATGACATTTAAATCATGATTTGGGAGACACTGAATACAACTCACAGTCAATGCTCTCCCAGCAACAAGAGCCAAGAATGAAAAATAACCAACAGAAGCTCCCACAAATGGCTTATCTGAAAGAACAATGAAGTTAGTAAATTCAGTGGCAACGAGGGAGGTGTTATGGCGTAATATGCTTACTGGAAAAATGGAGTGCAGCAAATAAACGATCTCGTCTTTACCTCCGATCCATCCAACAACAAACGCAGCCAGAGCCAAAAGAAACGCAAGGAAACAAACAACAAACATTTGGGTCCTCGTCAAATAGAAATTGTTTGAAGCCCAATAGTGGATAGCACCAATTGATAATACTATCAACAGAAGAACTAAAAGACAGGCCACTCCAATCTGTTGAAATTTCAAAAGAAGCCTTTTAGAATGGTAACTGCAAGAGAAACCTAAGAAGAAAACAAGGACAGAATAAGTAGGCCCCCTACCGTCCATGGTTCAATTACAACAATAACAGCCGATATTGCACCAAGTAGTAGAAGAAGACCAATTGTTACAAAGATATATACACCTCGAGAAAGTTTCCAATTATCATCTTTCCTGAAAACAGTTTCCATGGGAGAATATTACTCTGCCATAAACCCATCAATAAATTCCATTCTTTAAAAACATCGTTGAACTGGAAACTTCAGATTCAGTTAACAGAAAGCAGTATGAGTTTACTAACCATTTATAGAATCCACAACCAAGAGATAGAAAAGCCGGAATGCACAACAAAGGAAGTAAAGCAGCAAGGAAATCACCCTCTGTCGGAACTTGGTCATCCCTAGACTTTACAACCTTCAAATAGGATACACCACAGAATGCAACAAGGGCAACTACAAAAAGGGGATATGTTAATACCACGCTTCAAACAATACAGAAAAAGAAAAACTTAGTGTTACAATTCAAATGGAAAACAAGTCCCAAAAAAAAAAGAAAAAATCAAACTAGAAATTTTACCTGTAAATATTGCTACGCACAGAGCAGAGGACAGGGAGAATCTATATGTTGCGAACCATGAAACAATTGGCAGTACACCAGTAACTACTAAAGCAATTAGGGAAGCCATAGCCCAGCCAATGTACACAGATGATGCGTATGGAGATGTAAAGTTTTTCTGCTCACCAATCCATCCCTTGTATCTCAAATCTTCCAAGGGCTTTGCAGATACAATCGCACCAAGAGATATCACAGATCCAGTAAATACTAACATACAAATGACGAGCACAACACCCTGACACAGAGATGATGAAAAAAGAAAATGAAAACAAGGAAAGGAATGTAAACTGGACAATTTAACGGAAATATGACGCAACAAAAGTGAGCATCAGAGCACAATAAAAGCATTGAAGAACTGGATAATTGTAAGGTGTGCTTTACTATTTTTAATGTTTTAAAAAAGGAAGGTTACTAACGCCTGAAGCTATCCGATAATAGAATTCCAAATAAAGTGACTGTAAAATGCAATCTGTAACCTTATACCTATAACTGCACTTGCCTTGCTTGTTAACCAATTAGTAAAGAATAAATACAAAATAAATAAATAAAGAGCTTCTTGACGCTGAAAATATTTCACAAATGCTATAGTATTCTCACAAAACATGGAGGTGGGCAAATATGGAGTACAAACCTCTTTTGTTCCAAGGGATCGAGGGTTTCCTTCAGGACTGGTACTTTTCAATCGGGGAAACCAAAACTGGTATCCATTACGGATCCATATAGGACGAGCAACAGCGAGGCACGCCACCATGAGCGGACCAGTCAACGACAATCCGAGAAGAACTGATGATTTGCTGTAAAGCAAGTATACATGTTGGTGAATTACAGCACAAGCTGACATAATTACATAAATATGACATCAAACGTACCAGGGCCAGAACATTGACCAACCTTGCCTTCCCCC